GAAAAGCATATGTCGAGTGACTATACTATAAATATAATAGCATTTTCTTCATAAGTGTATATATAATCAAATGAAAGCTCATTTACAAATGTTTGGCACACATTCAAAGTGTTTGCGAAATATATAACACACTGAAAAAGTTTCTCACTTTATATTAACTCCGACTTCTAGTATATATAAATTCACTCATAATTCTCGCAAACACTTAACACAGAAGTTAAGATTTATTGTTTGAGAAAAGTTTTATTTCCAAACATATATTTATAATATTTGTTGATTAGTGTGATATCAAAATGCATATATCGAGGGGTGATCTGATTATTAGCTCAAAACCATTTGCATTTGCATTACTCCAGTCCGAGGGTAACGGTAGATGTGATCAATGCTTTAAATTACTGTAAGTTTTTCAAATAAACTTATTTTGTTGCTAGTTTAATGTAAAATAGTTTACTAGTTTATAGTACTATTTATATAAATTAAAGGAAATATAATTACAAACAAAATATTGTAACTAGAAAAATGCTATTGTTGATAACATTTTTAAAAGTTATGTTTTGTGTAATTTTGTTTTCCNACGAATCGGAAATTGTTTTGCATTCAGAGTACCGATGTATGGCTCGACTCCTCATCGCACCGGCTGTTTGCTGGCCTAAGTCTGGGGTAATATATTTGGCTATAGTTTTTGCTTCAGTCAGAAGTTGGCGTTTAAGGGTCGGGTAGTTATCGGCATTTTTAGCCAATAAATACAGCTTTAATGCCAGTCTCTGGTGACAGTCCCCGTAATATGACCTCAATATAGCCATAACTTTGAGCCATAGATCCAGATCCTTGTCATGTATGGCCACAAACTCTGCGACTCTAACCTCAAGGACTGTATTCAAAGGCATGACATCCCGTCTCAACTGAGCGGCCAACTCATGGATCATATTATTATCGTTTTGAACGGCACTCGCATATAAGCGCCGTTGCGTTGAGCTCCCGGTGCTGTCAGTAAAATAGTTGCACTCATTTGATAGCTTCTCAATTGTCTCGCAAATGGGACGCAAACCCTTGTCTTCACTCATTGAGACAATGCTTTCGTTAGTGAGCTATAAATAGATTTGAAAAACAAAATCAAATATAGATTTGAATTATGAAACGATTGCCAAATACTGTACACATCGCTCGCAATCGCAGTGAAAATAGTAGGAACCGCTCAGTTGTCTCTGTCTGTCAACTGTGGTCTCAAACTCATCGATATATGAGATCCTGAGGTCTCGGATGTCGGAGATGTTCACAGATTTGATGGCTTTTATGTAAAGTGTTGTTCCGATGAATAGGAAATTAGCCGTTGGTTTGCATGAGTGGTCAAAAATTGACGGACTTTTGTACAAAAAATACACAAATATTTTTATTTTAAAAATTATTTTTATGTTTCTAAGGGTTCAGATGGTTTTGTAGTGACAAACTCACCCGAGATATATAGCCCGTCCTATTTGTCTCATAAACGGGTCCTGAACTGCGAATGAATTAATTAAGAGTTTCCCGTAAATACTTAATTGTTTCTAAGGGTTCAGATGGTTTTGTAGTGACAAACTCACCCGAGATATATAGCCCGTCCTATTTGTCTCATAAACGGGTCCTGAACTGCGAATGAATTAATTAAGAGTTTCCCGTAAATACTTAATGTTGTGTTAATATCAGGCATATTATCGCCAAAAATAAGTGCCAGGTCATTATAAATGAGCTCAAATTCACGCATAACTGAGAAGTCTTTCGTGATATTCTCATAGTCTGTAAGTTGTGTCAAGAATTATGTGAAAAAATGTGTTAAGAATTTTGAAATATATTTATGTTTGCAAAACAATAGGCAATCATACGATCCATTAGACAATCCCAGTCCCGCTTATGAGTACCAATTACTTCATACTCGTTAGTGGCGCCGGTAGTCTCGAGTCTTTTTATAATTCTGGCAATGAGCCTGGTCATACACGATAGGGGACGGGTGGCAAGTATTGGACATTCGTGCGAATGCATGTCATTTGCCGCGGACTCAGTCTGTTTTATGTGAATATTTGCAAAATAGATAGTTTTTCGGTGCAATGATAAATGATATGATTTATGGTTTTTGTTGAAAGACTACCTGACATTTACGACTGCAATACATGACTTTCAGACATTTATAACACGAGATTTTGGCTTTACTTTAGCCTTTTGTTTTAATGTGTTTTGTATTGAAAATTTTTACAATAGTTGTTATCGTAAAAAGATCAATGTTATAAAACAAACATTAATATAAAGGAAATTAAATATATTTATCATGATATTTGATCATTTATATTTTATATTAAACTAGCAACAAAATAAGTTTATTTGAAAAACTTACAGTAATTTAAAGCATTGATCACATCTAACGTTACCCTCGGACTGGAGTAATGCAAATGCAAATGGTTTTGAGCTAATAATCAGATCACCCCTCGATATATGCATTTTGATATCACACTAATCAACAAATATTATAAATATATGTTTTGGAAATAAAACTTTTCTCAAACAATAAATCTTAACTTCTGTGTTAAGTGTTTGCGAGAATTATGAGTGAATTTATATATACTAGAAGTCGAAGTTAATATAAAGTGAGAAACTTTTTCAGTGTTAATATATAAAGCGTTTGTGAAACTTACACACGGTTTGTAAACATTTACTCGAAAGTAAACTAATATATATGTGAATACTTCTTTTACGATAATATAAATATCATATCAGTGAGCTGTATACGAAAAGATACAACTATTTCGGTACACATTTGACGACAGAATTACATGACATTCAATGGGATGTCCCGTAAGTATCGCAGTATCGCTGCCTAACCGCCTATTTATAGACTTTTAATAAGTATTTAGTATTTATTTATTTTTTGCTGAACTTTTTTTGCACACTCTGATGATTGTATGTATAAAACTTTTTGTATGATGGATAGTTTGATAATATTGCAATTGGCAATAAAGGTTTATCATATGATTTATAATTACTATTTATAATTTTTTAGGACATTTTATGTAAATTTGTACGGATTTTAATTTTTATAAGATATGATTATTAATATAAATGACATGTTATCAGGCATTTGAATGCTAATTATTGATTTATTTTAGATTAAACCCGTTTTATCATGAACCTAATTGGTAATTAGTAAATAAATTGAAAAGTATTTACANTATAAGATATGATTATTAATATAAATGACATGTTATCAGGCATTTGAATGCTAATTATTGATTTATTTTAGATTAAACCCGTTTTATCATGAACCTAATTGGTAATTAGTAAATAAATTGAAAAGTATTTACATTAATTAGTCAACTAAGTTGTATAACTTTCTTTTAATATAAATATTATTTATGATTTGGATTTTAAAATAATATTTTACATTATCATTTGTCATGTATTTATTAGATTGATGATATTTATTTTTTAATGTTGTCGTGTTTATGTATTATTTTGTGTGTCACATATAACTTTCCGGAAATATGATTGTATAATAAATAATTTATAAATAAAATACATGTTACAAATAATATACAGTTACAATTAATCAATACATTACATCAAATTAAACTGTATTTCTTATTTAATTATAACTAATTGTAAAAATTAATAACAAACCCATATAATTAATACACTATTAGGTGGTCTGACTATTATTTTAAAATTTTAAATTTATTCACAAATACAAGTTATAAATATATATGATTATTAATATAAATGACATGTTATCAGGCATTTGAATGCTAATTATTGATTTATTTTAGATTAAACCCGTTTTATCATGAACCTAATTGGTAATTAGTAAATAAATTGAAAAGTATTTACAATAATTAGTCAACTAAGTTGTAATTTTCTTTTAATATAAATATTATTTATGATTTGGATTTTAAAATATTATTTTACATTATCATTTGTCATGTATTTATTAGATTGATGATATTTATTTTTTAAAAGTTATCGTGTTTATGTATTATTTTGTGTGTCACAGATAACTTTCCGGAAATATTATTGTATAATAAATAATTTATAAATAAAATAAATGTTACAAATAATATACAGTTACAATTAATCAATACATTACATCAAATTAAATTGTATTTCTTATTTAATTATAACTAATTGTAAAAATTAATAACAAACCCATATAATTAATACACTATTAGGTGGTCTGACTATTATTTTAAAATTTTAAATTTATTCACAAATACAAGTTATAAATACAAGTTATATTGTATGTAAGACATGTAAAATTAGTTTTTAAACCTCATTATATTTTTTGAATTTAATTTATAATACTATTTAGATGCTGATTTACTAATAAGTTTCTATTGAATGATTATTATTGGAAATAAAACAAATGATTGAAAGTTTTATAAAAAAAACTTTTGTTTTGTTTATTAAATATCAAACAACAAACAAAAACCTTTCGGCAATTATTTTTCAATTATACCTTTTGTGTAGCATTTTATTGAAATCATGACTGATCTCTGATTTTTCCATTTGCCTATCATTAGAGTCAGGCATTGAATCAATTAATCTTCATTTGAAAAACTAGATTATAATCCATTAGTTTAGAGAAGAGGTTTGCATTGAAAATACATTTTTCGAGAGAGAAAATCGCATTTCAATCGCTTATTACTATTAAGTACTGATTATTATTAGTACATGAATTGGGGATAGGAATGAACGGTAAGTATAGTTTCTAAGTCATCCACCACAGATTATAATTATTTTGGTATTATTTATATTCATATATATATATCGTAAATGCTTTGCAAACCTTTTTTGGCTACAGTGAAAAATATTTGCCATTTTTAATCATTAGTGTTAGTGTATTGCCCTAATTTTCAGTGATTACAATAAGTTTAGGTAAAAGTTTAAGTAATACTTTTAGTACCTCTGAATGAATTGATGGATTGATTAAATGCTCATTGATTTCCATTAATAATCATTTAGTGATTCATGAAATTATTAGTCGAGTGATCGGCATAAATATCTGTCTTGAAAATAAGATTTTTATTTATATATATTTTTAGTGAAAATATTAAACATTTATAAGCTATTTATTTTCACCGATTAATGGTAGATTAGTTATGAATTAGATAGATATAGTTTATTGATAAATTACCTGTACAAAACTTTAGATTAAATAAATTTATAATTTTTTAATTAAGCATATGGTGCATGATTAGTAAATAGGCAAAGAATTTGGTAACTTTTTAGCTAGAACTTTTAAACCTTATATCGATAATTATTTTATTATTATTTTATATTATAAATGCTTTTTTACGCCTGTAAAGTATGCACTACTATCACACATATAATAAACCATAATTAAACTAATCCGGATTTATTATAAATATATTTAAATAATTAATATTAAACTAAAAAATAACGTCGAAGATTCCGATGTCTCCAATAATTAAAACATTTTACTTTTTGATAAGTAATAATTTTTTATTTGTAGTTATTTACAGTTCAAAATAGTTATTTTTTAAAATAAAAAATGTGATAGTAATTTATTCTTATAATTCAAAATTAAATATGTGTTTAATATATATAAATATATATAATTTATATTAGTTATAAATGTATAATTAATAAATGGTAACTAAATCAATAAAATCTCATTGAATTATAAATAATTAGACTTTTTATCTTTCACTAAATAATTGTAATGAATCTCATTAATAGCTAAATAATCATTTAATTTGTGTTTAATTTTTAAAAATCTATTTCTATTTCTTTTATCTATAATATTCAATATTTAATTTATTTAACATTGATAATAAATCTGTAAAATAAAAGTATGATCATCCATTTACGTGTATAGCCCATAACTTGTAAACTTTGTAAGATCTAGTATTAAGAAAATTAATTATATTTGAATTACAGCTCAAAACTGCTTTCCAAACATTTCAATTGTAATGTCAACCAACTATTTAATAGCAAACTTACATCAAAACTAATTAACTCTTATATTATTTTTAGTACATTTTGATAATTTCATTATCACAACAAAAAACTACTGTATATTTACTTAACATTATACCCACAAAACCAACACATGAGTGATATATTAACCGTCAGTTTAATACAATTAAGACAATAATAAATACAAACAATGAGCCGATCTTGACATTCAACTCGACATTAATCATAAAAATATATTTTTGGCATTAGTTTTGCAGGTTTTGTATATATTTGATCACACATTTTGGCCACAAATCTTATCCAATAATAAATGCTTTATTACTCTCTTGTTGTATAAATTTAACACAAATACCAGTCAATAGTATTTATCTTATATTTTTTGGCGTAAAAATGAGTACAAATTGTCAGTTGATTACAACGAGTCGTTAATAGGTTTGTGTAGTTAACTATCGGCCCTCTCATTCAGATTATACATACCTTTCCCCTCTATCTATAGATGTTATTTTTTAGGTCTATTCTCATGGGTTTATAATGTGATTGAATTTGATTGTATAATGTGTTTGAGATTATAATTTATTTCTACTCCAAAAAAATAGTTCACTAAACTTGAAATAAAATTTAAAATTTACTGTTAATTTTTACATAATGTAATTAATTGTAAAAAACAGTTTTAATACAGTTTTATGGACTCGAATGGTTTGATTTTATTTTTATCACAATTTAAATAAAATAAATATAATACTAATGTAAAACAAACTAGAAATTTATTTTTCAATTTGCAAACTCATTGTATTTTAATAGTAATTTAAAAGTTTCAAAATTATGCTATACTTATGCCATTTATAGTGATAGCAATTTTATGTTAAGCGTTGAGATATATTTATTAATGAAACTTTAAAAGGAAAGGCAGTTCACAGAACATACTGGCCATTGGTTTGGGATAATTGTGTTTAATATGAATGCAAACTCACGATTGAATTTAATGCACAACACAATGATATTAAAGCATAGATACCATGAAAATGCAAACCATTGAATTGGCTATCATTGAGGCCATCGTCAGGTCTAAGAGATAGGCATTTGTTGACTATATTTAAGGCATCGGACCTCTTAATGAACCGAAAAAAACATATATAATAACAATAATTATAAACAATTAGGCGTTT